AATCATATTTCCACATTAGTCATGTTGTGAAAGAAGAATCAGAACAAAAGGGAAAAATCACAAGAAAGACACAAAAACAAAAAGAAAAAGAGACAGAAAATAATATGCCTCGATTTGCATTCAGACTCCATACTTCTTTCTCTGGATATTCCATCACGAGTATTTTGGAGTTGTCTTAGATCATTGCATTGCTGAGAAGAACTAACTAAGTCTTTCAAAATTGGTCATCGCATAGTGTTGCTGTTACTATGTACAATGTTCTTCTGGTTCTGCTCCCTTGACTCAGCATCAGTTCATGTAAGTCTTTCTAGGTTTTTCTGAAATTTGCCTGCTCATCATTTCTTACAGAACAATAATATTCCATTACATTCATATACCACAATTTGATTCCCCAATTGATGGGCATTCCATCAATTTCCAATTCTTTGCTATCACAAAAAGAGCTGCTATAAATATTTTTGTACATGTGGGTCCTTTTCCCTTTTTTATCATCTCTTTGGGATACAGACCTAGTAGTGGTATTGCTGGATCAAAGGGTATGCACAGTTTTATGGCCTTTTGGGCATAGTTCCAAATTGCTCTCCAGAATGGTCAGATCAGTTCACAACTCCACCAACAATGCATTAGTGTTCCAATTTTCCCATATCTTCTCCAACATTTATCATTTTCCTACCTTGTCATGTTAGCCAATCTGATAGGTGCAATGTGGTACCTCAGCGTTGTTTTGATTTGCATTTCTCTAATCAATAGTAATTGAGAGCATTTTTTATATGACTATAGATAGCTTTAATTTCTTCATCTGAAAACTGCCTGTTCATATTCTTTGATCATTTATCAATTGGGGAATGACTTATATTCTTATAAATTTAACTCAGTTCTTGATATATTTTAGAACTGAGGCCTTTATCAGAGATACTGACTGTAAAAACTGTTTCCCAGCTTTCTGCTTCCCTTCTAATCTTGGTTGCATTGGCTTTGTTCACGCAAAACCTTTTTAATTTAATGTAACAAAATTATCCATTTTGCATTTCATAATGTTCTCTATCTCTTGTTTGGTTATAAATTCTTCCCTTCTCCATAGATCTGACAGGTAAACTACTCCTTGCTCTCCTAACTTGCTTATAATCTCACCCTTTGTGTCTAAATCACATACCCATTTTGACCTTATCTTGGTATATGGTGTAAGATGTTGGTCTATGAGCTGTTTTTGTGACTCATCTTTATATTTATCCACACCAGCCATGGGCCTGCGATTAAGGTCACCTGAAGATCAGTCCTCAATGGCACCTGGTCTCCTCAAAATCAAGGCTGTGAGGGTCTGGAAACAACATTATGTAGAGCACAGCAGGAGTTTTCACCCTGGGGACCTTAGAGTCACTGCAAGGGCTATACCAGACCCCCCCAGTCTCTAAAAGCTACAAAATAGAACCAATTATCTCATTAAATGATGGTATGATAAATTATCACATATACCTTCTATAGACTGAATGTTTAATATATAGACACACATATTATATATGTATATATAATCTATCATTATTTTTCAAATGCATGTAGATGCTGTTATTTAAAAAAACCCAAATTTTAAAAGTTTTGCTGAATTCACAGTAGTTTTATAAACTAGGAAGAGGATTTCTTATCCGGAATAACATAAACAGTGGAAAGACTGCTAGTTTTGGAGTCAGAAGGCCTGGCCTTAGAAACTCACCAGCTACAAGACCAAGGGTAAGTCAGAGGACCCTTTCAGTTTCTTCATCTATAAAATGGGAATAATCACTGGTACTCCCTAAAGCTTTTCTTAGAAGATTCCTCCTATTTCCAGAGTGCTTTCTAGCTCCAATGCGCTCTCTAGGCAGTTTAATATTCATTTGATGGGAATGCCAGTTCCCACGCTTTAGATAAAGTGCCTTCTTCATAGCAGCTCAATGTCTTGTTCCCTGAGGGCAGGAATAAGTCTTCCCCATCACCGTGGGTCCTGAGGGCCTGATCTAATGGCCCTGCATAGAACAGACAGATACCTGACATTTATAAAATAAATGTTTAGATGTCATTCAAGAGAAGATGAATTAAGACACCCATGCCTTAGAAAACTCACACATGTGAGTCTGCAGGTGTAAGCTGAAGAAAAAGGCAATCATTTCCCTGATCATAGGATTTTTCTAGAGAAGAGATCTTGGGATGTAGTCTAACTGCTCCGTTTGACAGAGGTCAAACTTGAGAGTCAGGGAGGTGAGATGCCTTTTTGATATCACACAGGTAGTGCAGAGCACAGCTCGAATTCAAACCCAAGTCTTCTGACTGCAAATCTAGTGCTCTCTCCATTCCATGCCGCCTCCCAAATCTGGACAAGATCTTTACGCCTGGCCTGCGATACTCTACCTTCCCCATGTCTGTCTGTCGAAACTAACAGAGTGTGAGATTACACATGGCAGACATTTTCAAAGGACTGGAAGCAGGCATTTGCTTGCTTTTGTCACAGTCCCAGGACCGAGCACTGCATCCTATACATTAATTATTAAATTCAAATGAATCTCCCCCAAAATGAGTTTATTGAAGGGGCAGTGGAAAGCACAGGCCACAGAGGGAACATAGGACTCTTCACTGGAGATCTAGGCTTGTGGCCCTGTCACTGTTCAGGCACAATCTTCCAAACCAACAAAGAAGGGACTTACTGAGTGTCACATCTAAGAGGCTGGACTCAGTGGCTTCTCAGGCCCCTTCCTGCTCTATGACCCCATGGCAGTATAGAGGAAAGATCAACAGCGTCCCAGTACTCTGAGGTAGATGCTCTGGTCTCCTAATGGCACCTGGAGGGAGCTGCTAAGAGTAACTCAACAAATCAGATCAAACCTAGTACTTCAGTTAAATTACAGGTGCAAAGGTCAGGCGAAACCTACTCACTCATGGGAATCTGGGATTTCTTGATTTGTTTCTTCTCATATCTCTTATCTAAGCAGTTACCAAGTCCCGAGGACTCCGATCAATCAATTCATTGATCAATCAACAAGCACTGATTAAGGGCCTCCTATCTGCCAGACACTGTGCCAGGTGCTGGGGATACAAAGTCGAAGATGAAGTGGCCCCTACCCACACAGATCCTTTACCAGGGAAGAAAACTGAGCACAGCATCCCTTCACCTGTCCCCTCTGCCCTGGTCACAGCCTCGTACAATCCTGGGAGATGGCTCTTTCCTGCCCCCGCTGAGTCTCTCCCTGTCCAATGTGGTCCTCACACTCAGAGAGATCACCTTTCTTAGCGAGAGCTCTGCTCATATCATCCCCCTTCTCAAAGATCTCCGGCTGTCCACAGTGACTACTGAGTAAAGTTCATTCCTCTCTTCCTGGCATTCTAGGCTTTCTACAACTTGGCCCCACCTCATCTTTCTCTTCAAGTACTCCATGCCTGGTATCCTCTTCTCCAAAAATGCCCTAGCCCAGGTAGTGCCTAGGATGCTTCCCTTTTCTTGTCTTTTGATTTCCCATCCTTCCATTAATGCCTGGCTCCAAAGCCCCCTTTTCCAGGAGGCCTCTCCCCCTCCCTAGCTGTGAATGGAGCTCAGCTAACTTTCTGTCAGCTTTTAAGCCTCTCACTGCGTATCACTGCCTATCACAGTTAGACCCACCTGATTATGCCCACATTAAGTGTGTTGGACAAGATGATTTTTGAGGCTCCTTCCAGCTCACAATCACAGGATTCTAAGAATGGCAGCTTTTTTCAGGAGTGTGGGTCCCTGGGAAACACCTCAACACCATACCCTTGAGTTTTTCTGCTTCCCTGGACAATGGGCCCAGTGCAGAGAGCAAGTAGGCATTCCCTTGGAGCGCGGCCAAATTAAGCAAGTTTGGCTGCCTTTTCAAGAAGGCACAGACGAGATCAGAGAGGACGAAGGAGCAAGAAGAGGACATACACCTCCGCTGACCAAACATAAAACTCTCCCACTCACAATACCTCAGGAGCTGCAAGGACTCTGATAAGTGCCCATGTAGCCTTTGCTCAAAGACTTCTATGAGGGTCTGCAAGAACTAATGTTTCAGAAATGACAAGCAAAGAGATATCAGTGGGGTAAGTAAGGCACTTTCTAATAGGCACAGCTGTCTCCAAGGTGCTTTGTTGACAAGGTGGAGCATGTGAAGAGTCTAGGATGCCCAGTGGGCAGGAGGGTGAGCAGGAGGCCTGGAAACCATGTCATATGAGGACTCCTTGAAGGAACAGGACTTTGGATGAGTCTTAGGAGTGACGTGACATTCAAAGAGCTACAGGTGACAGAATCTCAGCGGTCATCTCATAGACCTCAACTTCTCCCCACTCTCTTCTCATTTTGAGATGGAAAGGAAAGACTTACTCTGCCTAGTTCTAGAGGAGAGAGTGAGGGGTTCCTCCCAGGTGGGACAACAACTTGTTAAGGATGGAATAGACGTGATTCCTGCTTTTAGCAGCGTCTGGACCTGATGATGTTGAAAGTGCCTTTCACCTACAGAACTCTAGGAGCTTTGGGATTGTCCTGGTTTACTTCATGCTGGTTGTCCAGCTTCTATGATGCAACCCAACCAATAGCTATGACCCATACAGCTTGACTCTTTCCTTCTTTCTGACCCGTTCAAAAATATTTTAAAAGTGGTTGCTATGTGCCAGGCACTGTGCTAAGCACTGGGGATGCAAGTGAGGCAGTCCCTGCCCTCAAGGAGCTTACGTTCTAATGGCATAATATGAAGAGCAAGGGACTCTTGGCTTCTCTTTGATCTACAGGGCTGGGCCAAACCTGGATCCCATATTCCCTCTGACCTACAGGAACAGACCAACAAACATGGTTCCAAGTTTCCCTCTAATACACAGTGGCCTGGACCAAATATATCTTCTGCCTTTTCTCTCAGGTATAAGACAGAGCCACAGGTCCCTTCTTTCTTGCCTCCCCCTCAGAATGCCAGATCAAAGGAGTTTCCCACCTTCCCTCCGGCCCGCTGAACTTCACAAAATGTGACTTGTGCTTTCTTTTGACTTACGTCTCTCCGGGGAAACGTGCTCAGCAACTTGAACTCATCCCAGGGAAAGCCTTTGGAGGCCACGAAGTCAAAGACAACTCGTAGCTGGCTGCTGGCCAGGAAGCGCCGCTCCAGAAACTCCCCACTGGGCGTTCGGATCCGGAGTTTGCTCACAGGCTCCGTGCTCTCTTCTTTGGGCTCTGGAGGCAGAGACTGCTCCAAGGACAGCCGGATGGCCTGAGAGAAGCAAAAGGGAGGGATGTGACTTCAGCAATAATAGGGAATCCTAGCAGCAGCAGCTGCTGCCATTCAAGGCTCTAACATACTTGTACCTCACAACAGCCTGGAAGTCAGTGATAATGGGATTTTATCCCTATGACTCAGAGCTGATGTGGCTTGGCCATGGTCATAGTTAGGAAATAATGGAACCAGGATTTGAACCGGGATCTGCTCCCTTGGAACTGAGGGCACTCCCCACCACATCAAGGATGTGGGTTAAAAAGGAAGCAGCTTATTTCCATTTTTTCTAGACTGTCAATAGTCCTGATCATGAGCTAGGTCTTGTGCCTGGACTGTGGAACCATGTATTTTTCATTTCTTAATATTAGCCTACAAGACAACTAATTAAAATAAATCCCACCTTTATGACACATATTATTAAAGTGGTTGTTAACTGCATGGAGGGGATAGATAATTTAATTGTTTGACTGAAAGGCTTAGATATTTTTGATTGAGGGGATAGTCATCAAATACTCAGACCCTTCCCTTTCCCAGACAGCATTTAAGTTGTTAGGAACATCTACAAATACGTATGGCTGGAAACTTCACTTTCTATGGGTAGAAAAACCCAAGTAGTTTAAAAATGTCCACCAACAATCATATAGCAAAGTAGAATTAAAATAAACAAAACAGATATCGGGTGTGTGCCCAAAGGGAAATCCTTAGGAAAGTATTGTACTGGACTGGGAATCAAGAAGCACGGAATGTTTATAATGCCTGAAAAGATCTCAGATTTTAGAGTGCTGGAGTTAGAAGGCATCTCAGCATCTAGGGTTAGAGCTGGGAAAACCTCCAAAGGCTTGAAGAAGAAAACGTCTCTCTCAGGTTGGTGTGTTTTTTTTTTTTATCACTGCTGGTAACTGAAGGCGAGGCCTTCAGGAGAGAAAGGTAGATCTGGAAACGCTGACAGCTGGGTAGGAAGGTGCTGAAGAGGTGGAGGGGAGGAGAAGGACATGGGGCTCTGGACCAAAGCTAAAACCGTAAGAATGAGAGAATCCTGGCTAGGGATGGTGTACACACACCAAAGGTGAGAACTCGTCAGAATGTAACTGGGTGAACTTGCATGTCTGATCCAAACTGCTTTAAGCTAAAGAGTAATGAGCCCATCTGTGATTACCAGGCTAGATAGTATAGACAGTGAATACGAGAGGAGACAGAATTCAAGAGAAAAGCTGGCAATAAAACTCATAACTTCATACATCTATACCTAAATGTCTTAACTATAGGTGACCAGGAAGGTAAAATAAAAGATCCTAAACCAAGGAGGTACATTAGACCCTCCAGATATCTTGGAGACTTGGGCTCATACCCATAACAGAAAGAGGACTGGAAGGGCAAACCTTATTCAAAAGTAACAGGACAGGTCAAATGGGGGACCAAGGGACACTGTGACTTCTGTTATTTTTATTTAAAATATTATTTTAGAAAGTTATTAATACCTTCTGTTTTTACATTGCTCCCATTTCCAAACATATCTCTCTTCCTTCCCCTACCCAAAGAGCCATCTTTTGAAACAGAGGGTTTTTAAAAAGAAGAAAAATGAAGTTCAGCAAAACCAACTAATACATCAACTCTATCTGGCAAGATATTAGATATTCCATACTCACAGTCCACCACTTCTGCAAAGAATGGAGTGAGGAACACTTTTTCAACTTTTCTCTAGGGCCAAGCATCTTAGGAATCACAATTACATAACATTCAGTTTCCTTTTTTTTTTCCCTGTTGCTGTTCCTTGTATTTACATGGTTGCAGTTGTATACATCACTTTTTTTTTGGTTTTGCTTGCTTTAACCTGCATCCATTCACCTGTCTTCTCACACTTCTCTGAATTCTTCATATTTATAATTTCTTATAGCCCTTTGATTCTGTTTCAAGGGCTTTTGTAAATAGAATGCAAATAGGTCCTGATCTCAATGAGCTTGCATTCCGCTGCCATAATATACAAGACAGAAACAATTCCTATCCGTAGGAATGCCTCTAATGGGAAGCATCAGCTTCCTAGTGCCACAACCGAAGGGCTCTGCTCAGCTCTCAGGGCCCATTTTAGGAAAGTTGTTGAGAGACTGGAGAACATTCATGGATTGAGAAGGGTCTCAAGATCCTGCCACATGAAACCTGAATGAAGAAGTCAGGGAAGTTTATTTGGAAGATTTGCCTAAGTCTAAGCCTTAGACCCAAATCCCTTAGACTCAAGGGGACAGGGATGAGGACACGGGAGCTATAGCCAAGTATCTGAAGAGCTGCCAAATGGAAAAGGGACTAGGTTGTGCCATTTGGCCTCAGAAGCTGTAAACATTTAGTCCCAAAATCAGGAAAAAGTCCTAACTATCCAAAATTGGAATGGCCTGCCCCAGGAGGGAGTGAATTTCCAGGCACTAGAGATCTTCAATAGAAAGGTTAGAAGACCATTTGTCGGTCAGTCAACAAGCATTTATTTTCTACAATGTGCCAACATATACATATATGCATATTTATATATGTGATAAATGATAAAACAAGGTGTGTGTGTGTGTGTATGTGTGTGTGTGTGTGTGTGCGCGCGCATCTGTGTGTGTGTAAAATAAACTAGAGATAACCTCAGTGGGAAGGCCTTGGGGAAAGGTGTAAGGAAGGGGAGGTGAGAGGGTGGCTGGTGGAGGATGAGACTTTGAAAGGCCTATTTTGAGCTGAGTCTTTAAGGAAGCCAGAGAAGCCAGGAAGTGGAAATGAGGAGAGAGGGCATTCCGGGCATGGGGGACAGTCAGAGAAAAGGCCTGGAGTCAGGAGATGGAGGGTCTTGTGTAAGGAGCAGCACAAAGGCCAGTGTAGCCAGACTGTAGAGTGAGTGGCGGGCACTCTTTTTTTCTTTGTTTGGGTCTTTTTTTTTGGGGGGGGTGAGGCAATTGGGGTTAAGTGACTTGCCCAGGGTCACACAGCTAGTAAGTGTCAAGGCCAGATTTTGAACTCAGGTCCTTCTAACTACAAGGCCGGAGCTCTATCCGCTACACCACTTAGCTGGCCCTGGAGAGCACTCTTAAAGCAACGTACAAAAGCCTTGAAAAGGTAGGAAGGGGCTGGGCTGTGAAGGGCTTTAAAAGCTGAAAAGATCATTTTATATTTGATCATAGAAGTAACAGGGAGCCACTATGTTGCATAGGTATGTTCCAGTGTGGGTCACACTATATAGCACCTAAGGTTCCTTCATGTGATCCTATCCAACATATGTCACACATGAATGGAATCTTTGAACAGGGAATGTCGGGGCTGGGAGGGGCCTCAGAGATCATCACCTATTTTTCCCCAACTCCATTTATTAACACAGAAGGCAATTGCGGCCCTTGGAGGCGCAGGCAGGTGCCGCAGGGCACACCCTTGTGGTTGGGCTCCTGCCACGGGTCCAGCCCCACAGTGCCCTTTGCATAGCTGGTCTGGCCTCTTCCCTAGACCCTCTCTGTCACTGTTTGGGCCCTTCCGCCCACCTTCCTCCAGCACCTGCCTGTCTGTTCTCCTTTCTGTTCTGACATTTCTCTCCCAACTATCACACTGTTTGCCAGCCCTAGCCCCTTACACTCTAGCAGAGTGATTTAGGGGAGCTCAGGAGCCCCTCCTCTTGTTCAGAGAAGGCCCAGTCCAGGCTGCATCAGGCTCCCAGGGTTTGCAGCACAGGGAGATTACAGTTGTAATGCACCCCCAGACACGGGTGAAGGATGGCCAGGGGAGCAAACTCCAGTCAGAATAACCAACAACGGGCTGGACAAAAGGAGGATGTGAGCCCACGAATGGCTCAAGAGGCATATTTCAAAGGCTATCCAGACAAAAAGCCTTTCTGTAACACACCCTGTAGCAAAATGGCTGCTTCCAGGAGGTCCCATGGCACCCAAGTGCTGGGGAACCACTGTTGACAGAGCAAATACTTCATTTCCAATGTGAAGAAAGGACTTGGAATGAGAAGGCTTGGGTTTGAGTCCCTGCTTCAGTACTTAGTACCTCTGCAACCATGGGTACCTTACGACTTCCCTGAGCCTCGGTTTCTTCATCAGTAAAACGGGGATAAGTGTACTTATCCTACCAAACTCTGAGCGTTATTGTGATGAAAAGTCTTCTAGAAATGTGAGGTCTTACTATTGTTGAATGAAAAAATAAATGAAAAATCTTCTTTTCCAGTGGCTTTTATCTGTTATTATCCTTCAAATTGCTTTTAATTTGCCTAAAGCAAGCTTTCACATTGGGTACTGGAATAGGTTTTCAGTAAAAGAATTATTTCTCGGACCCCTTGGCGCTGTGGGACCCTCCAATCAGAAAAGGATGAGAATCTCCAGTAGTTGGTGACAAGGATGGGATCTGCCACAATGGCCTCCCTTTGAAAGATGTAGAGGGTGGGGGTCTCCTGGCCCTCAATTAGCAGCACCAGTGGACAGCGGCACTCTTGCTTGAGGGTCTTAGCCCTTGGGCCTTAGTTAGCTGTGGGCAGGCTCTGGAAACAGCCACGAGCAATAGTGTGGGCTAAAGGGAACTGGACATTCCTCAAATCAAAGCTTCTTTGAGGGGCTTCAACAGATGGGAACCACATAAGCTCCTAGAGCTGGCGAGGACCTGGCCTAGGGCGGTTGCAGTACGAATAGTGAGAAGTCCCCACCGGGCCTTGCTTAGATTTTTGCAACAGGCCTTTAAATGGTTTCCCCCGCACAGCTGTCGAACTAATATTCCTAAAACACAGGGACAACCACATCGCTCTCCTGCGCGTGGAAACTCAAGCCGTTCCCCGCTGCCCCTCTGATAAAATGCACATCCCTCGCTTTGACATTTAAGGCCCTTCCCAGCCTGGCTCCATATTCTCCCCCTCAGGCCACCTATGATTCACCCACATGGCCCTCCTTGTGTTCCCTGGACACCTGTGTCTCTGCCCAGGCTGTCCCCCCGGCATGGAATGATTTCTTTCCTGGAAGCCCTGGCTCTCTTTTAGGCTCCGCTCAGGTGCCTTCTCTAGTTGTTAAGGTTCCCAGTACTCCCAAAGAATCATTTTGCATGTAATTGGCATTTTCTTATAAGACATGGTGAATTCTTCTAGAAGGTAAGCTACTTTCTTATAACCCCAGTGTTTAGCCCATAATAGGAACTAAATCTATGCTTGTTGACAAATTGGTTGATAAGTGATCTCAGTAGACAAAAAAGTCAGTAATACTGAGGGTGGCCAACTCTCCTTCAACATAAAAACAATTTTGAGCCTAATTTAAGGGGTGCCCAAAATACCTCCAAGTGGCTATGTCTGAGGAAAAAGACAGTGAGCCCAGGGATAAAGGGAATGAAACCAGAAAAGGAGAGCCTAAACTGAAGACTAGGCCCGGCTTTCCAAATGCTCCAGAGGAGGGTGGAGGCCCCCTCCTCTGCTCGGACCCTCTGGATTCCCTGAGGCACCATGTCCAGAGGGAGGACCGCACAGCTCAGGATACCTACCTCCCGCTCCTCTTCCTGTTCTTTCCGCATCTGCTCCAAACGGGACTGTTCAGCGACTTCTCTCTCATGGGCTTCCCTCTGTTAGGAAGAGAAACATGGTATTACAAAACTCTGTGGGGGCCCCAGCAGCAGGAACACTGGCCGTGGGGTGGAAACAGGGCCAAGGTCAACCTGTGCTGAAAGGCCTTCAATGCCTCTCTGGGGCCCCAGTCGCCCAGGGTCCTTACGCTCCCCTCACTTCCTGTATTCGAGGCTCCAGTCACTGTAACAGGGACACCAGGAACTTCCTGCCTCTCCACCTTTACCTCCCAGTAGATTTCCTTTGCCTTGCCTGCTTCATGACAATCAGGGATTGTGGCTCTAGTGTTGAAAAGGGCCCCAGAGGTCATCTAGCCCAAGCCCTCACTTGACAGATGAGGGCATCGAGGCCCAAAGGGGGAAGAGGCTTGGCTCAATGTCACGAAATCTCTGACCTGGATCACTTCCAATCTCCAGAGCCACGTCAGCGCCTGGCAGCAGCTCCACGTGGTCTCTAGGCCCCAGCGACCTTTTCACACCTTGTCCCCTTGTTGTGACCTGCTCTAGGTTCTGAGGGTCTCTACGATCTCACAGGAGAGAGCTTTACCCTCTCTATGCCCCAACTTCCTTGTCTATTCAATGGGGACAGAGACCTCAGAGGGTTATGGTAAATGTAAAATGTTTTGCAGACCTTAAAGTGCTACAAAAATGCCCATTATTATCGACTAAACGGTGTGGTTCTCAGGCGGGGGCCCATGTATAATACTACACATACATTTAGCTAAGTACTGAAGATTCCCACAATCCCTCTGAGCTTTTCCTTTGCCAAACTATGGCATGAACACCGTGTCTTTTTTCATTGTCTTTGCCTCCTGGGACTGGGGTGTCCCAGGACTGGATGCAAAGTGCATCTTGGCCTTTAAAGTACTCGGCAAAGGTCTGTGAGGATGAGGATGGAGGAGGATGGAAGCCTGAGGGGTGGGAAGAGGGGAGGAGGGGCCAGTTCTCTGAAGGCAGAGTTCTCTATCCTGGTCGTCTTCTTCCCACAGTGCCAGTATGGAAGCCAGGCCAAAAGCTTGGATGGGAGCTGCGCTGACTCCTTTACAGTGATGGTACTAGAGATGAGTTCCACCGTACACAATGGGCTTAGAGTCCAGCACCAAATAGTAACTAAACCTTAGGCTGGTCCACTAGAAAAAGCCTGCTGTCTCTTAGGTATTACTTCTGTAAAGATGAGAGAGAAAGAGAAAGAGGGAGACAGAGAGAGAGAGAGAGAGAGAGAGAGGGAGAGAAGGGAGAGACAGGAGAGAGAGAATATATACATATACTAATTGTACCAAGCCCCGGAAAACTACAGTTTCCTTGGTAAGACTGGCCTGATTATCTGTACTATAAAGACAAAGTGAATGAAAAATACACATTCCTCAGAGGATGACATGCAGCCTATTAGTGTGCATACCCTGAAAGGTATTGCATATGGGGAATGTGGTGGGCTGGCAGAAATTCAGTTCAAGTCAGTAAGCATTTACTATGTGCCTGGTACATGCCACGATACAGAGACAAATATGAAAAAAGAATCTTGCCCTCGAGGAGTTCATATTCAATTGGGGAACAAAAGAGGTAAATGCAAAATCTATACAAAGTAAATTTTAAGGGATGAGCTTGATCTAAAAAACAGGACTTACAGTCCAAGGGCCTGGATTTGAATTCCTCCTTTGCTACTAACTACATTATGACCTTGGGTAAGTCATTTGCCTTCACTAGTCATTTCATAAATCTATAAAACAAAGAAGCTGGACTAGAGGGATTTAGAGCTTTTTGGATAGCTATAAGATTTAGACAATGAAAGAACTCTTGGAAATCAATATGCTTTTCCCTCCACACACTCCACCCTTTAGTACACACACCTTGGCTCTGTCAGCTTCTAGTGAAAGACGATAAGCCTCGTCCTGCTCTCTCTTCATGTTTTCTCGTGCTTCACGCTCATCCTGGAAGAGAAAGCACAGGACAGATAAGAGACAAAGAGCCCCTACCACACTGGCACTTTGGGGGAATCTGATGGGGCTCAATGAGTAACAGTAACTTTGTTTTTATTTTTTAAGTAAAATCTTTTTAATTAACAAACATTTGTTTTCTTCCCCTCCCACCTCTCCCCTGTCAAAAAAAAAAAAAAAAGAAAAAGAAAAAACAAGCTTGTAAAAATATTCATAGTCAAGTAAAACACATTCCCACAGTGGCCATAAACAACACCGGTGAGACGTGTGACACAGGAAACGTGAAGCCAGACTTGCATCATAGGATCTCAGCTCTTCAGCAACAGAAGCCCAGGGAAGTTAGATGCTGTCTCAAGCTCACACATTTAGAGCACATACTGACTGCACCCTAGGCAAATGCTTCTCTCAGCTTTTCAGGCAATGCACTAAGAAGGTTGTTCAGAGAAGGTACAGATCAATTGGGAGTGGGGGTGGGTGTTCCTTATGGGGCAGTTCCCTGTATCAGTGAAACCACAGGTCTACTATGCCAGTATCATGACTTTAAAGCCCTTATATGTAAGTCATTGCACAGAAGGGGGTACTTTCAAGATGATACTCTCTTATGTAACAAAAATTAAGGGAGAACTAGACCATTCAGGAAGTGCTTTCATTGAGGTCAACTCTGTTTACAGGTAAGTATGAATGAATGGCCTGCCATTATGCTGTTATGCCCATATGCCCAATTGAGGTTCTTTTCAATCTACACAGCTGAAGTCCTTTCATTGAGAACATGTTCTATTGATGTTATGATTGTATGGCCATGTAACCAATCCCCATGAGTTAACAAAAGTATTATAAATAAACAACTTGAGTTTAAAATAGACTACTGTAGGTACTGAGATGAGTGGTGACTGGGATGGCTTTGCCACTGAATGGGCAGAGCATCTGTCACCTGCTGCCCAGACAAAGGAGTGCCCCCTGAACTTGGCCAGGAGGGATGCTTTTATCATTTTCATCCCATTTCCCTGGCTCCGCAGACAGCGACAAAATGAAACGAGTGAACATTCAGGATGTGTAGAACCAAACGTGTTCTGCCAGTTCCTTCTCCCTGAGATGCCTTTTCCTCTACCTCTCTCTCTCTCTCTCTCTCTCTCTTTACTTACCAATATCCTCCCTGTCCGTCACAGAGTACACTGTCAGAGCTGGCCTCTGTCTACTCCTGAACTAGCATGGTGACCACAACCTGCCCTCCTAATCTGAGGTCATCCTCATCTTTGTGTTCCAGGTACTGGGCATAGGGCCTGGCACACAGGAGTAGGTCAATAAATACCCCAGAGAATGACAGACTTTCAAAACTGGAAGGAAGGAATATTTTGAGGCTCTCTCCTTCAATCTGCCTCCAAACCAAGAATCCTCTCTAGTGTATGCTCAACCAGTGGCCATACAGCCTTTGACAGATGGTCTCTAATGGAAGGGAGGAAGAAGAGAAATCTGTTCTCTTTAGTTATTAAGAAGTTTAAAAAAATCCAGATGAAAAATATATCTCTTAGAAACTTCTCTCATTTCTGCCCTTGGAGGCCAAGCACATATTTAAAAAAAAAAAAGACATGTATAGCAGATGGAAACAGAAGCAAGGGCAAATAATGAAGGATGAATATAAAAAAATCAGTACAGTTCAGACTGTATTAAAGCCAAGTCCAGAAGCAGCTGAGGCTAGTAAGGAATGCTACGTAAACCAAACAGGGTTCTTGCCCCTTAAAGCTGTGCTAAGAAAGAGGGAAGATGAAAGAAGGGCTAAAGCTGCTGCTTGGGGGGTAGGAGACAATAATAAAAGATGGCAGAGGGAAGGCAGAACTACTAATTTCTTACTTATGATAAAGTAGGAGATGGCAAGAGAACTTCTAGCTGACCTCAGCAAGATTCAGTACTAGCTTTGGAAGAACTACATACTGATCAAGAATCACTGATCAAGACCCAGTTAATGGCATTGGAGAGACACTATCAGTCATGTTGAAAAAATGATAGAGAATGGAAATGTGGGTTCAGAACTAAAGATGATTAAATTTATCCCAATTTCCAAAAAAGTAACAAAGTAGATTCTTCAAACTTTAAGCTCAATAAACTTGAATTTGATTCTCAGCAAACTTCTAGGACATATAAAAGAAAGGCTTAAGAGAATTTGGAAAGGGAAGCAGCTGATCACCAAAAGCCAGCACGACTTCATCAAAAACAAGGCTGGCTTTAATTTTTACTTGAATATGAAACAGGTAGAAGAGAGGAATACCGCAGACATAATACACCTGGATTTTAATTTTTGGCATTTGACAAAGTAGGTCCCATCTTTGCAGGCAAGGCAGAGAGTTATGCTAGATGACAATGGAGTTAGGAAGACTCAGAAGTGGTCAAATGTCCGGCTGTGAATAGAAGTCACACATGGATTGCTGTTGTCTAGTTGTTCCGGTTGTGTCTGACTCTCCATGACCCCATCCGGGGTTTTCTTGGCCAGGATACTGAAGTGGCTGACCATTCTCTTCTCCGCTCACTCTACAGATGAGGAAACTGAGGCAAACAGGGCGAAGTGATTGCCCAGGGTCACAAGGCTGGGAAGTCTTCCTGACTCCAGGCCTGGCGCTCTATCCACTGCGTCACCTCACCGTCCAATAAATGGGTATGTGTCTCCAATGATACGCCTCGTCCTTGGTTCTGCTCTGTTCAATATTTTTGCTAAATTTTTATCACTGACTTGAGAAACAGCTACAGCTAAGTAGAAAACAAGAGGTTTTGATTCAGAAAACTGAACTTCAAACCTGGGCTTTGATATTTGCTCTATAATGGGCTTAGGCAAGCCTGTTCTTCATTTACCCAATTTGTAAAATGGGTTTTTACTACCTACCTCACAGGGCAGTGAGGAGACTGATTTTTAAACCTGAAAGGCATACACAAGTTTAAGTTGTCAATGGGTGAAGGAAGAGATGGCGTGATTATTCTTGGCAGATGACATAAAGCTGAGAGAGATAGGCAATACGTTGTAAGACAGTAAGGATTTCAAAGAATTTCAAGAAAACTAGAGGGATGGAACAAATTTAATAGGACACAACTAATTAGAAGCAAATGCAAAGTCCTACAATTGTGTTTTAAAAAAAAAGTCAATTGCCCAGCTAAGAATTGGAGGTTGAGAAAATGACCATCAATTGGGGAATGGCTGAATAAAATGTGGTATATGATTGTAACGGAATATTATTGTGCTGTAAGAAATGACAAGCAGGACGATTTCAGAAAAAAACAGGAAAGAATTACATGAACCGATACAAAGTGAAATGAGCAGAACCAGAAGAACATTTACACAGCAACAGCAGTATCATATGAAGAGCTGTGAATGACTTTGCTATTTTCAGCAATACAATGATCCAATGCAGTCTCAAAGGAGTCATGATGAAAAATGCTATCCACTTCCAGAGAAAGTACTGATGTCGTCTGAATACAGACCAAATCACACTATTTTTCACTTTCCTTTTTTTTCAGCTTTCTTGCACAAAATGACTAACATGGAAATGTTTTACATGATTGCACATGTATAACCTATATCAGACTGCTTACCCTCTCAGGGAGGGAGGAGGGAAGGGAAGGAGGGATAGAACTTGGAGCTCAAAACTTAAAAAAAAATGTTAAAAATTGTTTTTATATGTAATGGGGGAAAGTAAAATACTATTTACAACGATTTTTAAAAAATCAGTTGCCCAGGAATAGAAGGAAGAGGCATCAGTAGATAAAAGCTCGTATGGAAAAGAGCTTTATGGAAGTCTTAATGTACTGCAAGCTGAACATGAGTCAATAGCTGGATTTGTTGGTGGACAAAAAAAAGCTAAGGTGATTTTAGACTTCATTAATGGACTTGTGGTGTACTGAACAAGGGAAGTGACAGTCCTATTGTGGGAGATGAAATCAGAAGGAAAACCCATTCTGACGCTTTCATTTAAAAGAGGAAGGAACTAAGATCCAGGGAAGAGAAACGAGGTCACACAGGAAGTAGATGGCAGAGCTGCGATGTGAAGTTATGCCTCTTAGTTCTAACTGCACGAGCCCACAAGTGGAGACTGAGGCTTTTCCCCTCTTTAGACATGGGCGCGATCACTCCGTACTTCTGCGATGGGATGTTAGTAGGCCAAGCTTATTCTAGACCTCGGGCCTGGTCTTTCTTCCCCTTACTTTGCTTGAACAAACTAGTTTTCAGGAACACAGGTGAGCCTTTAAGGGTGGCGTTAGTCATACCCTTAGCTTGTGTTCTTTGCACTTTATACAAGTGACCCATCTTTCCCTCCACGGAAGAAGAGACAAAAACCACTAGAGTCCTTTCTACCAACAAGGCCAACTTTCCCTGGGCCAAAAAATGGCAAACAGATAAAGGAGGGAAATGTTGGGGTGGGGGAGAGGAAAATTCAGCTTTACTGGGGGGGGATGGCAAAGCTTAGAGTTTGATGACACTGGTTCATCGTAGCATCTGAGGGGGAGGATTCCGTTGAGTCTTGGTGATGGAGAAGCTGCTTTATCTCCCTGGCTGTCAGTAGCAATGGGAAGGCTTTTTTGTTTTAAAAAAATCTTCTTTACTTTTGGTGATCGTTTGATACTGGTCTCTTCTTTATTCAACCCTTCCTGGAGAATCTCTTTGCTGACGGCTCCTCTGGATCCCATCAACATTCACAGAACCAGAGAAGCATATACGCCAACTGTTCTCTGGAAGGGCCCTGGGCAGCCACCTTGCCTGGGCCTCTCCACAATATGCCTGCGTAGGGGCCACCCCGCGTCCACATGACTATCTCCAGTGAGGGGTACCCATACTGTTCCTCGGAGGATGAGATAGCTGCTTCAGTTTCAGAGTTTGGCTTTCTTCCTCCTCTTTGCTTGGCCCTAAGTGGTTAGCATTCCTTCGCTTCTTTCTCCACCCATCCCACCTTCAGACACAGGGCAAGACATCCCTTTTGCCTCTTCTGATGACGCAACTGCTTTGTTTTTACATT